ACTTTAAAACTGGTGTTATGTCTCTATCTTCCTGGTTTTAGTGAGAACGCTCTACAGGCCTCCAAGCCCTCTGATGAATTATAACTTATACCTTATCAAGTTCATTGTTTCTTTCAGGTGAAGCAGCAGCAGAAGAAGAAGAAGAAAAAGAACAAACATCATCATCCCTTCAGTCTCGAATGTATTTGGCGGGTTTGGGGATTTTTTGTATACTGGTAGCTGGAACAGCTATCTACAGTGAGTTTCATTTCAGCTCAATATATTTTAGCTATCTTCCTTTATGACGAGTTTTCAGAGGTTTAAACCAGTGGTACCCAACCACTGGGCCGTGGACCAGTACCGGTCCGTGGACCAATTGGTACCGGGCCACGCAAGAAATAATTAAATATGGAGAATCTTTTATTTTGAAAATCCTTTAACCGGATTCTCTCGGTTACTTGCGCGTCAACACTGAGCCCACAAGCAGCAAAATGAGTAAGAAACAGATCAGATGTCTTTGGAAAGTTTCTTTGCAAAGGGGAAAAGGCCCAGAGAAGAGACAGGAGGATGGATTTATCCCGGACCGGTAGGTGAGTCCCACATTACAAGCCGCTCTGCGTAACATGCGGCGATCGGCTGCTAATGAGGCAATGAAGCTTCAAATTGCTTCGCCACGTAGAGACCAAGCAGGCTGTGGATATAAGCAACACTCCTCAGGTGTTATTGTCTCCCATCACTCCCTGATGGGACCGTCTCGTTGCAGAGAAACAAGCTCAGGGCTCCGTTAGTCATTATCTTGAGTTAAAATTTTCACGAAAGTAAAATGCTCGTTTTTGTGGCGCATCTGTATCTTATTTTGAAGGGATATGTAAACGTTACCATAGCGACCAGAGTCAGAAAGCGTTTGGGCAGTGGTCGAGAGGAGATGAGTAGAGCTTGTGAGTCTTAAGTCTGGTTTAGACGGCAAGATTTAAGGATTGTCGGCCGATTTTGCAAACCTCTGTGATCACAGAGCTGATAAAAGTACAACAGGTTCGATCGGTTCGTGTTCAGCCACAAGGCAGGAGCAACTCGAACCGATTCCAGAGGATAATCCAGTAAAACCCCCAACATAGCATACGGGAATTTAGAATAACCAAACACGGATGACGATGTAGTTCAATAGTGATAGTTTGTGGAGACATTTTAAGAGATAAAAGACGTAACAAAAAGAAAAGGCGGTGGATAAAAGACGACAGGAGCAGCCGCTCTGTCTGCTGCACTATGATTGGAGGTGACTATATTTTTTCGTAGTTAACATTTTTAACTGAATAAACATGACCAGATATAATTAACATATATAATAATTACCTTTACATATAATAATAAGCATTTCCACATATCATCTCCGATATCCACCGGACTCTCAGTTGCGCGACATGTCAGCTGTTTGGGATTCCCCTCTGTTCTTACGTCACCGCGCTTTCTGATTGGCTACCTGTCACATTCAGCAGGCTGCGGTAATCGATCCAAGACAATGACAATGTTGATGAATATGCCTGATTTTAGATCACACCACAAAGTAACACACCACACACAGCAGGACGTTGTAAGATTGTTGTAAAGGGAAAAAACTGACGCCGGTGTCATATGTCTACTAGTAACTGGGCAAGAGTGTCCATTGGTAAACTTTATGCATACAGACTCCAAGGATTCAAACCCTGGACCTTATTGCTGCAGGGCAACAGTTCTACTGTGGAAATATTAACTCAGTTTACTGTTCTTCGGTTCTAACATGAGAATACTGTCTGATATCCTGAAAAGATCTGAGAGAGAAACTGAAAATGTTGTTGCTCCTTTTATGCAGATGGATTCACTGACTTTCTGACTAATTTGTGTTTTCATAGTGAGCGTAGAGATTAACAAGCAGCAGGAAAAGATCAATGATCTTACAACAGAAAAAAGGAAAATAACTGAGCAAAGAAAAATAACGAAGAACCAGGAGCTGAGCCGAGTGAGCCAAGCGGGAGAGGAGCTATTTCGAAAGAAGGAGGAGCTGAGCCACATGAGAACTACGCTGCAGCTAGTGAAGGGAGACAGAGCGCTGCTGAGACGAGAGATGGAGGAGCTGAGCCGAGAGACGGAGCAGCTGAGCCAAAAGACAGATGAGCTGAACCAGTTGTACAAAGAGAAAGATGAGCTGAGCCACGCGAGAGATAAGTTAACCCAAGAGATAGAAAGGCTGACCCGAGAGAGAGACAAGCTGAGCCAAGAGAGAGAAGAGCTGAAGGAGACTCTGGAATTCATCCAGAAGTTTGACACCTTTTCAGTTAAAGACAACTGCCCCAACAAAAGTGATTAGATTTATACACTACCTTTGAAACTCTGGATTATTCATTTTATTTTTTAAATGTTGTGATAATCTTCAGTTATAAATAGCTGTTAAAAACATAGCTAACCATTATTATAACAGGTACAGTGCTAATGTCTGACAAAGTGAGCCAGGGCCTTGGCTGGGGTGGAGAAAAATGTATTCATTAGTAACAGGTTTACAGTAAAGCTTTGATTTCAGAGAATACTGTTGTTTTTGAGAGAACCGAGCACCGAGCCCTGTGGTACGCCACTTCTAACTAGAATGGTAGCTTAACTTAATCACTCTCCATTATTGGTCTGCACTTTGCCTTTGAAATTTTTTCTTGAGCTATTTTGACTATAGAAACATTAAAAATACACACAGGGATGGCTTTTGTGTGTGTGTGTGTAATCATACATCAGTCAATCAAATTTTATTTGTGTGGCACATTTCAGCAGCAAGGCATTTCAAAGTGCTTTACATCATTAAACACAAAAACAGAGTCATGCAACATTGAATAAACAATTTATTGCAATAGATAATATATTGCTATGTGGACAACGCTGCAGGGCAAAAAGACAATTCTTTCACATGCCATCCATAGCCGCGCTGCTGCGATACAATAATTTTGTTAACTCAATGATGACACTTGGAAATTTAGGGATTATTTCGTGCTATGCTCCACAACAAAGGGAAAAACCATTGAAGTACAACTCAAAGCCACTTCTCTCTCTCTCCCTTTCTCTCTCTCTCTGTGCATTGGCCAGGCTACAAACAGACTCATTGCTATAGCAACTGACAACAACGCCCCTAAAAAAACACTGAGATATTTCCCACACAAAGAGCAGAACATTCAGTCTGTTGCAGTAGTATGGTTTAAGGCTGCACTTTACTGTATGGCTCCATGGCTAGCTCACTGTTACTGTGTCTTACTCTGCAGTTATGGAGTCACAATGTCTGGGATCATGGGCGCCCCCTGGCATGAGGCAGGAGAACTGCCTGTCTCAATCTGTTCTCTGCCGTTTCTGATCGCTCCTCAGCACACGAAACACGTTACACACAGTTTGTGACAAAAACACTGTACATTATATACGTTAGCTAAATTATGGAAAATCAGTTCTTACATTAAATGTTTTTTAACCATTTTATTGGCAACGTACAGACGGGACGAACATGCTCTCAGAGAATGGCAGCCAGTGCAGTTGGCGAGAGGTTGATCAATCCCAGGTGAGGCTCAGCCCACTGCTGCCTCACCGGCTTCGCTTCCAAGCATTTGAATGGGAAAATGCGAAAATTCAGCAATTTTGAAGAAAAAATAACCAAAATGGGTTAAGCTAAATAAAAAATAAATACTTTACAGTACAAATCACAGGGTGAAAATAGCAATATAAATTATTTTATCATATTTTTCTATTATGACAGGTGAGGCTCTGCCTCACTTGCCTCCCCTGACTGCACGTCACTGACAGTCAAATGCATTTGACTTTGAATGAATGTTTCCAGTTTTACTTGACATTATTTGATATAGACAGTGTTATGAGATTTATTTGACTAATGTACAATTTAGGGTACTGAGATCCTCGCTGTGAAATATTATTTTACTGAATGCAGGTTTTTCAATTGTCCTTTTGACTGAGTAGCTGCTGTATTGTGCCGGCAAGTATTTTACATATTTTATGTCTAAATTAGGTGAATATACTGCCAGATAAATTTTAAAATTTGCCAGATCACACATTAGCATTTATTCTTATAGCAAAAAATTAACAGCCAATCCAAGTGATTGGCAGTGATCGGCCCTCAAGGGTGTTCAGAATCAGAGTTGGCAGTAGAAAATCTGATCAGAGCATGTGTTATTTATATCTTTCTGTTCTTTCCCTGTTTCTAATGGGCCCAGGGTGTAAGCCGTGCCTGCAAGACTGGATTATCTTCAAGAAGAAATGCTACCTGTTTTATGACGAACCGGCTCCTTGGAAGACCTGGGAACAAAGTCGAAGGTTCTGTCAGGACAGACGAGCAGATTTGGTTGTAATTGATGATCTGGAGGAGCAGGTAAAATCTAACGCCACCTACAGCAGCTTAAAGCTAATCTGGAAGTTTCTGGAAAATTGATGACTCGAAGTAAGAATGGTTATGACAATCAAAAAAAAAAACCGTTCACAGGAATTTGTCAACAAACACATCAACCATGATAAACACAATGGATACTGGATGGGATTACAACATCTTAACAGCAAGTGGACCTGGGTTGATGGACGTGCAGACACTCTTGGGTGAGAACTATTACCTAAAAATAGACACATTTAAGTAGAAATGTAAATATATTTTGACAAGCTTGTAGAAGAGTTATACTGAGTGACAACGACTCCAGGATCTCTAGGACTTCTTCTAAAACCAAACCTTGGTGGACATGATTGGGTTCACTGTTCTGTTTGGACCTCCAAACAGTCTAGAGTTATAGATCTAGAGTTGTAGATCTATAACTAGTGATAGACTCTGACCTGAACCTTCAGAGCCACATTAAGACAGTCACAAAGTCAGCCAAGCAAGGAGAAGCAGCATTCAGCTTCTATGCACCACAAATCTGCAACAACCTTCCAGAAACCTGTAAAACAGCTGAAACACTGAGTGCCTTTAAATATGAACTAAAAACCCACCTGTATTTGAAACGTAATAAATTTACAACTTTGACATCTTAATGTAATGTTTTTATTGTTGACTATATGTTACATCACTTTGTGTTTTTAATGTATAGACCTTTGAAATGCCTTGCTGCTGAATTGTGCTATAAAAATTACATTTGATTGATTGATTGTCAGTGGGTCACATGACATGTGAGCTATTAAACACCAATCATATTTTCATAAATATAAAATAATGTAAAAAATGTAAAAACATCTAAAATGGGGGGAAATGAATGTACCTCATCTGTACAGGCTGGTAGAACTATCTCACACTGATTTTGACTCAATAGGTCACATGACCTAGAAGCTATTGAAGAGAAATACTAAATTTAAACATAAAAAATAGGTAACAAAACTAAAAATTTAGTGAAAATGGAATAAAAATGCATGTACCTCATATATACAGTTTGGTACAGCAATTACACACTGATTTCTACTCAATGTGGCACACAGTATGGAAGCTATTGAAGAAAACAGAGAAAAAGAAAATATTTACATTTCTTGATGGAAACTCATGTGTAAGGACAAGGAAAAGCTAAGTGTATATTTATGCTTTTATTTCTTATTATGTCCTCAGACTTGTTCTTAATCAAAGAAAACAAACAAACCTAAGCCACTGGGGGTCTGCTTACTGGAACTTGATTGACTAGTCGTCCTCTGGATTCATTGAATGAACACTTGTGGTTCTATCTCTGTAGAGCATTTATTAATCTGGCAAAGATGCAACTTTTCATCTGAAGCCTTGCACACTTACAGTGTTAACATAGTATAGCCAAATGATGCCACCCACTGTTATTTTTGTTTGGTATTAAACCAAACAAAAACTAAATATATAAACTCTAAAAATATGGCTCTCATAGTTGGGTTTTATTCTTCCAGCTGTAACTCTATGAACATTCAGGTCATTTGCTATCTTTGTGCTTCTCTTAATGGTAATGGGTTTCTCTGAACCTTCTGGAGGCTTCCTTGGACTAGGCCATTATTGTAGCATCCAATGAAACATTGAGGTCAGTAATCAGGGCATTTGAAGTGTTCTTCCTCTAACAGGATGGGTGAGGGCCGTCATTGTTACATCAGGGGAGATCAAGACAAAACATCTGGTTTACAAACACAGAAATCTGAAGAAATCTGTTCAGAGGGAGGAATAATTTAAATAATGCATCATTGAAAGAAGGATTTCATGTTGAATTTGGATAAAATATATTTGTTAGATTAGTTCTGATTAAGTGTTTGACTTTTTCTTAGATAATTTGTTTATTAAAAATATATAAGAAAGTTTCTCAACAGTTTTAGATGCAATTGTAAAAACAAAGACATCTAAATCTAAAATCTTGTACATTCAACTCCTTTAAATTAATACTCGTCTGGCTTCTTTTTAAAATACTTATTTATATAATGTCAAAACATGTAGATGCTGACAGTTATCAGTTTGATGTCAATAAGCTGCAGTGTGATTTTATTTTATGTCCTGAGGTTCATGTTTCTGTTTTAAAGGTTCTGGATGAAGCAGACGGTCACCACTCTGGCACCAAAAGCTCTGGTGGTTCCAAGACAAAATCCCTCAGAGAGCTGGAAGAAAGCAGATAATGTGTTTCTGAACAAATTCATCTGTGAGCATAACGCTCGACTGAGGTCCAACTGACTGTTCTCTTAAAGTTTCATGCAGGAAAGCTCAACTGTGTCATGAATTTCTATATACAAGTCATCATCACCTCAATAATCTGCTGGTCGTTTTGTCTCTTCATTCTTAGTGTTTATGAACTCTCACCTAATGAACCTGTCTGGTTTGCACAGCCAGGAAGAGATGTTGTTTTTCTGCAGCTGCTCAGGAACCAGACTGTCTCTCCATTGTTCAGGATTCCTTATCTTTGGTATAAAACCCACCTGTGGACTCTGACTGACAGAGCAAACTCACATCATGTAATTAATTCAAATTTTCAAAATGCAAAAATACTTTTATTGACCTGAAAGGGAAATTAAATGTTGTTGTAACTCATATTAATTCAAATTCTTCAAAGAGTTACTGTAGATAGTGATGGCTGTTGGCAGGAAAGCTCTTATAGCAGTCTGTATTACAGCAAATTTGAAGAAGCCTCTGACAGAAGACACTATTTTTCCAAGTCCAGCCTGTCATGAAGAGGATGGTCAGGGCTGTACATTATTTTCTTGATTTTATTGAAAGTCTCCTACTATGCAAAATTTATATTTTGCATGTTTCCATCTTTCCATTTGGGCATCTCCTGTTCCTAGAGACAGTGCAACAAAAAAAAAGACACCCAGCAGTTTTTTGGAAATAAATGTTTTTGGTCGTTTTTGAAACTGTTTCAAAAACCTCTAAATTGATGCATCACAATTTTATACCTAGCCAAACCCCAAGCCAAACCCAGTCCCTCACCTGGCAACCCAAGTGGAGCTCCACCCACTTCATTCCAAGCTACCGCAGCACAATGGCTGCTAGAAAAGGAAAATGTTTTGCTGTCGGCTGCGGTACAGAACGTGGGTCCAGGCATTCAACTACCAACAGAACAGGCAGGATTTACCACAATACCTGGACTGAAGGAAAGCTCTGTCCCTACGGTTGGTCACAAATCTGCAATCTTGTGTGCTTTGTATTGTTGTTCGGCATGAACATGATATGTCATTTATCTGAACGGTAGCCTCTGCTAGTCCTGTGTCTGACGTTACTGTCGGAGTTGAACTGGGAGTGATGGTCTAGTTTGAGAAGATACAGTATTTGTGGACACATGCTGGACACTCGGATATTACCGACAAACATTGAATCTTTTTTTTTACATGTTGACAGAAGTGTTTCTCCTCTAACCTGGGAAATAAATATCTTTTTAAAATGTTGAATTTGGAGATAAATCCGTTTTTTCTGCTGAATTGTTGTGAGCTCCTTGTCTTAACATGGCACACCCCGCCGAAGCAACGCAGAGTCCCCTAAGTTTGAACTAATAAAATAAATGTTCATCAAATCCGCAGCGTTTAATCCTTAAGCGGTTGTGACTAGATGGATGTTCAGGAGACTCCACTTCTTCAGCCTCTGGGTCAGGATGTGCGGTAGTGTTTTCCTAACATTCACTTGTTTTTGAATAAAAATGTAGATCTAATGTTGAAGTTAGAAAAACTTTATTTTTTGTAATTGTCCTGCAATAGCAGGGAAAACCCTCCTTGCCCCTAAACACCGAAATGGTTCGGCTGCAGAGAAAACTTCTGACTTCAACCTGATGTGGCTGCACTAAATGCAGCCTGAGTCGGTCCCACCGACGGATATAAAGAATGCTTGATGTAAAGAAACGGTACCGGATTGTCACTGCAACACAGCTCAAAACCCCGTTACCACCTGCTCACTGTTCGCTCTGCCTCACCTTTACGTTTCTGCCAGGCGGGATAAAGCCGCTGCTGATCTGGGCTGGAGGTGAGCAGCTGTGAATAGAAGTTACTGCAGAACCTCAACTGTTAAGGGAGGATTCGGCCCCTTGCATTTGGAGCTCACAAAATATCACATAAACATCAGCAAAAATACTGTAGCAATAATTAGAACTGTAGCATAAAACCAAACATCCCACAATTAAATAAATCTAAATGTCCCAAAAGCATCGGTGGGCTGGCATCGGGGCCACCGGAGGATTCCAACTCAGAGATGCTGCGGCTCTTCAAGCAGGGCCGGCCCAAGTTAATATGGGACCCTGGGCAGAATCATGGTTTAGGCCCTGCCCCTCCTACTAAGAACCTCAGCATCACCAACATGTTTAAATGTAAATTTAGTGAAGTCTGTGAGAGGGAGCTGAGGTTAAGTGGCTGAGTTTAAAATCAATAACTGAATATTGGTTATTTTTTGTTGTGATGCATTTGTGAACAAACCCAGCTCAAACACAAAGATTACACAATATTGTAGCCATGGTAACAACAATCAAGATTATTCTTTGCACTTTTACAAAGTAAACTTCCTAATTAAATCCCAAATATACTACTTATTTTAATTTTTCTTTGAATGCATTAAGTAAGATTTAATAGCATTATCATTCTCAATAAATGAATGCTGCAGGTTTATATCTATGGTCTGTGTTACAATTCAGTCATTTATAAGAGCCCTGAATGTCTGGAAGACATGGAAGAACAAGAAACAAAGACTTAACACAGCTGTGTGAATATTGTCTCAATGGTATCAGCAGGTATGCAGAGCAAAGGTTTTCCACATCTGTTCTATTAGAGGAGGCTGATATCAATGTACGGATGAAAGGAAGAAGCTCTAAGGTCCAAAATGTTCTGTCATAGAGCTGAATGTGATCTAAAACAAAAAAAAAATCAACGGAAAACTATTAGTTGACACATTATAAAGTCATTTCTGATTTCTCCCAAAAGCAAAACCAATCACGCCTTTCTGTAATCTGAACTCTTAAAATTACTATATTTACATAGTTAGGTTGCAGATTTACAGCCTCATTTTCAAACATAAAGAGAAAACTTACTTTTCTTCATCTTTACACATTCAGCCTCCAACAATTTTCTCCATCAATTTGATGAACACATGATCATACAAAAACAGCTTTTAGCAGCATGAGCTTAGCAGAAAACAGTTACACACACTGTTAAATTAGGCCATTTTAACCTCAGTGTAAAGGCAAGACTCATCCATTCATTCATTCATTCATTCATTATGGACTGATAGCCACTAATGAGAAGATCCCACAGGTCACATGTAATGTGGAGTTCCTGTCTTAGATCTTTGTGAGACACCAAAACAAACCGTAATGAGTTTACAGTTTGAATAATCCTGAGTCTCAGCCGCATGTGAAATGCAGTTTACACCCAGTTTAATCTGTGCTGTGAATAAAATATTCCATAAACTTCATCTCCCATAAATCTAATTTACTAGTAATTTATGTCTTTATGCATCTCACTTGTACACCTGTAGACTGAAAACTGTATTGCTATTTTTTTAATAAAGTCTAACTTTTTATTTCCATGAACATCAAAAATAATAATTAGTTCATCTGTTTCTTTTGTGTCCTGCTCCGTCACCTGAGACCTCCAGACTGTACTGAGCCTGGTTCTGGTTCTGCTGGAGGTTTCTTCCTGTTAAAGGGAGCTTTTCCTCTCCACTGTCGCCATGTGCTCGCTCGCTGGGTTTCCTTCGGAAACTTTTAAAACACTTTGAATAATTAAGTGAGCTTCCTGCACTGACAACGTAAATCAACTGGAATGTTTTGTACAACTGAACTGAAATTATTTTTTGTAAAGTGCCTTGAGGCGATATTTGGTATGAATTGACGCTGTGTAAATAAACTGAATTGAATTAGTGATTAGTTTATTTTTTTTATTAAACTTATTGCATTTTTCCAGTTTTAACTTAAATGTATGTGTTTTGCATCTAATTTCAGAGTGAGTGTTTCTGGTCATTTTAGCTGGTTTAAATGATTTATGTTTCATTTTAGTTGAATTTAAATGTATTTAACATTTAGCTATGGCACTTCTCTGCCCTTTGGAAAGACTTTGTTCCTCCGACGTTGGAAGTTGTTAATCTGTATTTCTGTTTCACATTAAGCCTCAGTTTTCATTTTAATGTTGACATTCTGCATAAAAATGTTTAATCTCTGTGTTGGAATGATATTAGTCTTGTTTTCTCTCTCCACTTAGAATAAGATCAGATTATGACCATCAGATTATTAGAGTAATGATGTAATACCTTGTATACAGAAATTAATGACACAGTTGATATTCCTGCATGAATCTTTAAGAGAGCAGTTAGATAGATGAAACCTCGAGAGAGTAACGCTCACAGATGAATTTGTTCAGAAACACATTATCTGCTTTCTTCCAGCTCTCTGAGGGATTTTGTCTTGGAACCACCAGAGCTTTTGGTGCCGGAGTGGTGACCGTCTGCTTCATCCAGAACCTTTAAAACAGAAACATGAACCTCAGGACATAAAATAAAATCACACTGCAGCTTATTGACATCAAACTGATAACTGTCAGCATCTACATGTTTTGTCATTATATAAATAAGTATTTTAAAAAGAAGCCAGATGAGTATTGTTTCTCCCCCCTGGTGGCAGAAACAGAAAGCCACCACATTCCCAAGGAGGTCAAAAACCATCGACTGACTGCAAAAGACCAGCAGCAAGGCTTGGTGGCATCAGCCACAGAGGTTTCAGGTCCCACAGTGAGGACAGACTGAGGACTGAAGGTCTCCATGCCTGAACTCAACCACCTGCAGCACCACTGACCCAAAGGCACAAGAAAACCCAGCTGCAGTTTGCTCATAGCTATAATAGGGAGATAAAGAACGTTTTTGTTTTTCCAAAACTGGAAGTTCTTGAGCAATGAACCCAATCATGTCCACCAAGGTTTGGTTTTAGAAGAAGTCCTGGAGATCCTGGTGTCGATGTCACTCAGTACATTTAACCCTTCTACAATCTTGACAAAATATATTTACATTTTTACCTAAATATGTGTATTTTTAGATCGTAGTTCTTACCCAAGAGTATCTGCACGTCCATTAAGCCAGGTCCAGGTGTTGTTAACATTTTGTAGTCCAATCCAGTATCCATGGTGTTCACTATGGTAGTACTTGATGTGTTTGCTGACAAATTTCTGTGAACAAATTTTGTGTACATCATCATAAATCTTATTACTTTAAGCCCTCAGTTTTTCATAAACTTCCAGATTAGCTTTAAGCTACTACAGATGCGTTAGATTCTACCTGCTCCTCCAGATCACCAATTACAACCAAACTTGCCAGTCTGTCCTGACAGAAACTTTGACTTTGTTCCCAGGTCTTCCAAGGAGCTGGTTCATCATAAAACAGGTAGCATTTTTGCCTGGAGTGAATCCAGTGATCCGGGCACGGCCCACACTCTGGATCTATTACACAAGAGGAAAGAGGAGAAAAAAGGGAAACTTTGGTAAAATAATATAAAATAAAAATAAAGTGTACATTTTTAATGTTTAGATAGTCAAACTTTCTCAAGCAAAGATTACAAAGGTAGAATGCAGATCAATATTGGAAGGTGATTAAATTAAGCTATCATTCCAGTTAGAAGTGGCGTACCATAGGGCTCTATGCTCGCTTAAAAAAAAATTCTCCAGAATCAAAAGTTTGCTGCAACTCTGTTGCTAATAAATCACTTTTACTGGATCAGTTTGCTGTCAGACAAGTGGTCTTCTGCTCTCTACCGGTGATAATAATGATCAGGTAAAGTGGCTTCCAGAAGTATTCATGCACCTTAAACTTTTTCATATTTTGTCACATTACAACCACAAACATAGATAAATTAATTGGAATTTAATTTGAATCCTGAGCACATTATGGGTTGTGAATACTTTTGCAAGCCACTGTAAGTCTTGAAAATTGTTTGTAATTGAAGATTATAACAAAAAAATGAAGAGTTCCAAAGGTAATATAGAAATCTAATCACGTTTGTTGATCTCTAGGTTGAGTGCGTTGATCTGTCCCTCCATTATCTTAGTTTCCACAAGCAGCTGCTTTTTTTTTATTGTAAGGTCACTGATATTTTCCAGCACAGTGACCGTCCTCACACTCACTAAAGAAAAACACAAACTGGTTAGAGAGGCAGTGAATCCATCTGTATCAGAGAAGCAACAACATTTTCAGTTTCTCTCTCAGATCTTTTCAGGATATCAGACAGTATTCTCAGGTTAGAACCAAAGAACAGTAAACTGATTTAATATTTCAACAGTAGAACTGTTGCCCTGCAGCAATAAGGTCCAGGGTTTGAATCCTTGGAGTCTGTATGCATAAAGTTTACATGTCCTCAGATTTTCTCTGGGTACTCTGGCTTCCTCTCAGAGACCAAACTCATGACTATCAGGCTAATTGGTCTCTCTAAGCTGCCCTCAGTATGAGTGTGTGCATGGTAGTTTGCTCTGCTAGTATCCGTGTTGCCCTGTGACGGACTGGCAGCCTGTGAAAGGTGTAACTTCCAGTGACCACTAGAAGTAGAACCTGCCCAGCAAGCCTGCATTGACAAGCAGTGGATGGATGGATGTTTAATGTGCTAATATTGTGTGCTATACAATTTTATTGCTAATTATACTATTTTATACTTGTGTGGTGCTTTTATGTTGGAAGTCTTCACTTTAATTGGGCTGATTTTCCATCCATCATGAACAAGAAACCAAGATCCTTAAACTCCTCCACTTCAGGCAGAGACTACCACCAACTCAGAGGGCAAAGTGCAGAGTCATGGCCTCAGACTCAGAGGAGTTTAGTGCAACCATGGCCTGAAGAAACCAGCAGAAACACATCGTCTATGAAAAAGAGGAGATCCTGAGGTTCACAACCCAGACAACATCGTCCACTCCACAACTTTAGATCTTCCATATTAAACTTTAACACCTTGACAGGTTTCAAACTGGGCAGCATTAAGTTAAATTGATTCTTGGTGAGACTTCAGTGTCCCTGACTTTTTAATCAACCTTCATAACTCCTCCTATCAAGCCGGCCCAAGGCAAATTAAGTGACTGCTTAGGGCCACTAGGGTGCTGTCGTGATCTGTGTTTCTGTGTGTTTATTTTTGAGTTCTTCTGTGTTCAGTCCTGTTTTCCCTGTGTAGTCCTGTTCCCTGAGTCTCTGTCCTCCCTGTTGATTGCTCCCCAGGTGTGTCGTATCCCCCTGATTACCCTGTGTGTATTTAGCCCCACCTGTTGTCTGTGTTCGTTGTCAGATCCTCGTCATTTGTAACTGTTTCCCTGTGCCGTCGTGTCCCACCCTCGTCTAAGTCTGTTTTCCTGTGGGCTCTGAATCATTAAATTCATCATTTTCACCTTCATCCTGGCTGCCTGCGTCTCATCTCACCTCACCAAACCCCGAACCATGACAGGTGCCCTCAAGTGGAACTGATTTATTTTTTCAAGTAATGATATCTATCTGACTATATTAACAGAAACACACAATTTCATTGTAAATTTGTGAGTGTTTTTTACAATAACATATATTTGATCATGTAGAAATCATTGTTTATAATTGCCCTTGCCCAGGTTGGTCACTCTTCACTGGTAATATGATCTACAATGAGCATTGCTCATTCAAACCTGCAAAGCACCGGTGGAAGGTAAGTTAGCAAAACAATCTCAGAAAAACGACAAAATCCTTCAGGGACAGAGAAAAGAAGGAGGAAAAAGAGAAAAACTCAAGATAAAGGCTTGTTTTAATGTGTCTTTGCAATGTAATTTTTATCCAGAAGATTTGTGGAGCTGCTAATAGACAATTAGCATGATAGCAACCTTGAAAGATCCAGTTCAACAATCAAAAATTTATGCTAACATCTTTGTATTTGTGTGAAACTGAGTTTTAACTTTAAACGAGTTGATTCTCATGGTTGGTTCTCAACCATGAGAATCCTTATATTTCTGAGTTTTTTGGGGGGTTCAACAGTAGTGTGACTATTGTTAACTGCAAACGTACAGATATGACCTGGTGGGCCGGTCTGTCAGTCAAACCTCTCTCACTGTAGAGCAGAAGATGACAGTGGTTGATTTTTAGATGTAAAGCCGATCGGCTTTACATGTAAGAATCCACCACCAATTTCCCAAAATTCAAAAAGTTGGCCCTGATTATTGTCTCCTATATGATATGTGCATCTATATATATAGGATATAATGTAAAGAGCAATGTCAGAGATGCAGTGAGTTTATAGCAGGTGTGGATGATCTAATCATCTCACTGTTATTAGCAGAAATAGAGGGTCCCAAAACCAAATTTGGGCCGGCCATGCCTCCTACTGTTAGACACTTTTATCTTAATGCTTTAAACTACAAACTCTTCATATAGGAAGATATATAATGTGTTGAAATGAAACTTACTGTAGATGAGTGTTCCAGCTACCAGGGCAACAAAAATCCCCAAACCCACCAAATACAGACGAGACCTAGTGAGAGCTGTTGGTTTCTCTTCTTCTTCTTCACCTGGAAGAAACAAAGACGACTCCTTCTGGATTGTTCTGAACAGTGGCTAGACAATTTATATTGATAATACGGCGCATCAATGAAATATCTATTTAGGACACTCACCACTTGGGCAATACCATGGATCATGCCATGCATCAGTGAGAGCAATAAATACATATCTAACTGCATGGGTTTATCTGTTTGATGTCATTCTACGGTAAATAATTAACATCTGAATGTTAGAACTTCCTCCAGCCTGGGACTGTTCAGCACTTGAACCTGTACCTGAACTCTGATGTTCCCGAATAAACGTCCAGATAGGAATCAGCCGACTCTCGTCTCCTTAATCAGAAATGAACACAGGGTTTTTGAAATTTAACAAAATCAGTATCATTGATGTCATTTTCAATCAGATTCCTTTTGATAACTTTACATTCTAACATGTTTTTTTAATTCTGCCAGGTTTATAAATAAATAAAATTTTAGATTTAAGTTTGTATCTTAAAACTTTCCAGTAAAATTTTACCTCTCTGCTGAAAGTTAGATCCCAATTATTTAATTGATTTAACTTTTTGCCTGAGTATTTTGCCTGCTGCTGCCTGATGGGTTAATGCAGGGGTGCCCAATACGTCGATCCACCGGTCGATCGCAGAAAGGTTTTGAGTCGATCTCGGCAGGTGACAAACTGAATGCAGCCAGGACGCTGAGACCAGCACTTCCTTTTCTGACAGGCTTATCAAAAATATTCACTAAGATCCTAAACGTTTGTAGCTTCATTAAAAAAGAATAATTATAAAAAAATCAACGAAACGTGTTTGTAGTGACCATTTGTCCCAAAACTTAAATTCAAAAATCAAAAACCTCAAAACTCAAGTGATCAAAACAAAAAGTGAACCCAACACCTGATGCACCGTGGATTTTGATTTACGCAGCCCAAAAGGATCAAAAAGTCGAAATGCAGTTCTTTGGTCGTTTTATTTCACAGTTCAGGCAAAAAGGTTACAGGTTTCACAGGATTCTGCTTCTCCTGCTCTGATTCCTGCACCTGTTCTCTGACTGACGACTGAAATGACTGGTGACTGATGAGACTGATTCCATAGACTGGTAAAAAAAAAAAAAAACTTGTGACCACCCACGTGCATAATAAGCTACCCAAGACCCACCTATTTATACCGTGAAATACCCACATCCCAACCTGAAATTAATCAACTAATTAAGTGAATTACTAACCAAAAAACTTATTCAAAATAACTAATTAAACAAAATTCTAATGATAAATCAACTAAAATAAACAAAAAAAGTAAGTATAAACTAAACAATTTAAATTCTAAGATTTAACTGAAAATGGGGAAATAGTTCCTACAGAGTTAAAATTAATAATCTCAGTAATTATTGTTTCAACAATGTGTTGCACAATTCAGTGCGTTTCGTTCCATTAACAAAAAAAAGGGGGAAAAAAGGCAACTCAAAGACCGACTGACGAGCAGAGCAGGAGTTTAAATTAGCAACTCAACCACCGCTGTTTTCATGAGAGGCTTATTAATAATCAAGAAATAAATATCAAGCCTGGAAACCTGATATCGTAATGGACTGAATGTTGTGTTTTTAACGTAATCTATATCTGTATTTGCGTCATGAGATAGATCTCAGGTGACTGGTGAGAGAAAAAGTAGATCTTGCTCTCAAAAAGTTTGGGCACCCCTGGCTTAATGCATAGCTACTTTGAGGAAAACGTGCATAAAATAGTAATAAAAATCATTTTGTATTGGCATAAGAAGTGCAGGATTCAGAGAGAGAAGGAATTATAGAAATGCTAATTTCTGCTGGCTAGTCTGAAGGAGCTGAGTGGGGAAGTTACTGCTCAGCTGAATGGTTGGCATAGGAGAGTAAAGGATTTCTCAAACATTCATGAAAGAATGAAAGCAACACTCCAGAGATGTTTTGGATGAAACAATAACTTTGTATTACTACTAATAATAATTTATTTTATTTATAATGCCTGTATAAGTATCTAATTGAGATGTCAAAGGGCACATTCACATACTGATGATGGGTAGCTACTGGGTTGTAGCCACTGCTGTCCCCGGGCAGTCTGACAGAAGCAAGGCAGCCATTTTGAGCCATCGGCCCTTCTGACCACCATCAGCAGCTGAGACCGGTGAAGTGTCTTGCCCAAGGACACAAACGACAGGGACAGGCAGCCCGGGAATCGAACTGGCGAACCAACATAATTGGTAGTAGTGGGAGATTTTCGCCTCTTCTTCTTTGGGGCTTGTTTGTGTCAACAGGTAACTTTACAGTGGAGTTTAAAAAGCTCACAATGTTCCATGTTCTGGACTCTTATTTAATATGCACATGTTCCCATAATTAATATGTTCTAATCTGACCTCCAGTTATAACAACAAGATGAGTTTCCTTTACTATGCAGGTGATGCAGCTCTACATCACAATGTCACCAGGTGGCTGTGAACCATTGAAGCGCTGAGCAGATGCACAGAACAAATCAATGAGTGGATGTGCCATAACTTTCTTCAGCTGAATAAAAACAAAACTGAAGTTGTTATTTTTGGGCCAAAGGAGGATTGACCAAGAGTCAGCATACAGCCCAACATTGATGTAAGTCTATTATCCAAATTGCATTTAATTTCCTTCATTATGCCACAGCAGAATAGCTTCTCCACTTTTTATGTTTTCATCATATGAAGGACTTTGAATTGTCTTAAACTTAAATTGCCGAGAGATTTCTGTGATGATACGAAGACCTTAAAGCTTATGATGTAAAAGAAAAAAAACACTATAATGTCCTACATAGAAAAAATTAAGTGCGTTTGGGTAGCACTGTTACTTTTCAGTCCTCATAAAACCTACAATATATAGTCACTTACTTTGAGGAGCAGGTTTGTCTTTGGTGATAGTGACTGTAGAATAAGAGTCAGGGTCCACTCTGCCCCCCATCCTTTACAGAGAAAATGATAAAGATTTTAGAAAATGTCCAACGTCTCCTTGAATGATCTCAGCTGTAGCTCACAGGAAAGCAGATTCCTCTTCCACTTTTTAAAAGACAGCTTCAGGGTTTGATGCAGCATCAGAACAGAAAGATAATTACAAAGTCGACCTTCTATCACCTGAAGAACTAAGGGGGGAAATCCCATTTCATTATTGGACGGACAATAAACAGAGAATTTTTTAAAGAACAATTTTGGGGCCGGCAAAGTTGCGGTGAAATGTAACATAAAATGCGGTTTTAAACGTTTTAATGTGTTCAAGTTGCAAGACCAAAAAAGACTAATAAGTAATGATGCACATGAAACATGTATTTTCTCAGTAAACAAATTGTTGAGACCCATAGAAGTCGAACTAAATTTAAATGTTTAGATATGAGTTTGATTCAGTGTCTCAGATCTAATTTCTGCTACACCTATACAAAAATTTAAGGTTCAAAGGTTCACCAGGGTTTTTATATTATTCAGATTTTGTTTGTGTATTTGTGTAGTTTTAGAGGCTCTGTGTTGAAGATGGTAAGAAATAAAGGCATACATTTCTGTTTTTCTTCATCTCTCTCGGCTCCCACATACTGAGCTGTCAGCTAGTTGTAACGCTTAGCTCCTCCCGTTTCAAACTCCTCTCATTAATGTAAGAGATGTAGAGCTAAATATAATTGAGATATTTGCTACCTTTACCAGGGCTGCACAGTGGCACAGTTGGTAGAGCTGTTGCCTTGCAGCAAAAAGGTTCTGGGTTCAATTCCCGGCCCAGGGTCTTTCTGCATGGAGTTTGCATGTTCTCCCTGTGCATGGTGGGTTCTCTCTGGGTACCCCAGCTTCCTCCCACAGTCCAAAAACATGACTGTCAGGTTAATTGGTCTCTCCAAATTGTCAGTGTGTGTGGTTGTTTGTCCCATTTGTCTCTGTGTTGCCCTGCGACAAACTGGAGACCTGTCCAGGATGTACCCTGCTTCATGCCCGGAACATTAGCTGGAGAGGCACCAGCAACCCTCCCTACCCCACCAAGGGACAGGGGTGTACAGGAAATGGATGGATGGGGCTACCTTTGACAAAAAAAAGTTTCCAAGGCATAATGAGGCAGTTTAACACAATTCAGCCAAAGTAATGATTTTTATTTTTAATGTGTTTCTTCTTATTGGGCAGTGAAAATAAATAAAAGGTGTTGCATGTCTTTTGCTTTCAGTATTTACTTACTGGAGGGTTTTTTGTTTGCGCTGCACAGCCAGTACTGTTGTTGCTCCTTCTACACTTTGGACTAAATCATTATTCTAAGAGTGGTGGGGGGACATAAAAATGTATTTTTATTTTTTTCTTTGATGAAAATGCCAGATTTATTTCGTTTTTCGTTTCATTCACATTTTCATATTAATATTGTTAAAATTCAAGGTTTCTTGTATGATTTCTTTGGGGGGACAATTCTAGATTTTTCCTAGATTGAGGGGGTCCAGACTCACGAAATCCCCTGGCATTTCTGCCCATGTGAAGAACATTTCCAGGCTTAAAGGACTAATGTTGCAGCAATATTTAGACAAATTCCCCCATGCATTTTACATTGATTACTGCAACAGTGTCTGTCTAAAAAGAAATAGTCAATCCTCCAGCTGCAGCTGATCCAGATCGCTGCTGCTGGTGTTCTGACTAAAACCAGGAAGATAGAGCACATCACCCCAGCTATAAAGCTCTTACAATGGCTCCCCGTAGCTAAGAGAATAGCTGTGTTAGGTTGTAAATGGCTTAAATCAAATCTGGAGCAAACTTCCTGAAAACTGCATAACAGCTGAAACACTGAATTCCTTTAAATCAAAGCTTAACAACCACCTGTTGAGAGTTGCCTTTGATTAACAATAACTAGTATTAATCAAAGGCAGTGATATTCTGAACCTTCAGAGGTTGACTCTCGAGAGTTTATTTATCGATGTCTCGTTTTGTAAGGAGCGGAGCGCCATCTAGTGTTTGTAAACACAAATTGCAGGCTACAGTCAAACACGAAAATCAGAGCGTCCCGTAGAGAGGACTTGAATTTGGTTTAAAATACGGGACGTGACGGTTAATACGGGTCAGTTGGTAACCCTACATCAGGGGTCCCCAAACTACGGCCCGCCTCCACATTTGGTCCGGCCCCCTGAACAATACCA